GTTATAATTTTAGCTAAAACATATTTCAGAAGACTTAAAATAATATTTCCGTGACAAAATATACATACTGTAAGTCTTAAAAATAAATTTATGTCTATGTATGGATTTAGATTGTTAGTGAAATTCTGCTTCTTCGCTTTTTTTAGTCAATTATATTTGAAAAAAAAAACATAAAAAGAATAATATATTTTATAAATATTAAATATGTAATATATATTATTTAACTATTTAAAAAATCATACGATCCATTTTTGGTATGCGGTTTTTACGAATGGTGTGGTATAGTTTTTCGATGTTTTATATAAAAAAAACTACACCGCACCGTAAATATTCGGTTTTTATAAAATACAAAATCACCATATCGGTATTGGTTTTTGAGTGTTTGTTTTTTGTTTTTTTTTTTTTTTCAATTTGCAGTTTGGGTTTTGCTTGCCCCTATCTTTAACCACATACACATAAATACTCATTAATTATGACTAGGGAAAATAGTACAAAAGTGATTAAATTTATATCAAATTTCTAATTTAACATTGTGTTTTTCAAAATTTTACAATTCTGACAATTTGACCGGTCAACCCTATTGATGTGGCATGATGACATGACATGCTGAGGTGTCTAAATTAGGGGTGTTCATCGGTTCAAATCCAATGGATTTTGATAGAACCGATCCAATCTAATCATCCATTGGATTTTGGATTTTATCAACCGATCTAATCCAATTTAGTATAAAAACCTATCCGATTAATGGTTGGATTGTATCGGTTTTATCTATTGGATATTTTTTATTGTTTTAAACCATTGATTACCCATTATCTAATCAATTTTAATCCGTTTCTATTGAATAACCAAATATAACTATGATAATGAAAAATAAAATTGCACATAATTACGTTAAATAAGACTAACAAAGTAACATTAACTTTAAGTTTTCAACTTAATTTGTTATTGAATATTTAATAATGGTAATTGGATTTGGATAATAATGTTGCATATTTAATGGGTTAAATTGGATCGCTTCGGTTATCCATTGGATTTTCAGGATAATCCAATAACTAATTCAATCGAATTGGATTTTGAAATTCCGCATCCGGTTCAATCCAATTGTAACTGGATATACAATCCAATCGACCAGTTTGTAATTGGATCGGTCGATTCCAATTGCATCGGTTAATTTCTGCACACCGCTCTAAATTGAATTTTGTTCCACAAAAGGCACTAATTTATCATTTTTTTTTTCAATTTTGACACTAAGTTTTAATTTTTTTTTTCAGTTTTGATATTATTTTTTATTAAAAGCGAACATTATTTTTATTTTTATTTTGTTTAATGTTGATTATTTTCCATTTGAAACCGTATAGATATCTTTTTATTACATTTTAAATCGTATATATATATATATATATATATATATATATATATATATATATATATATATATATATATATATATATATATATATATTATTTAAAAATCACATGTCTGTATAAATACAAGGTTTTTTTTTTTTATTATTTTTTTACAATCAAATGATAAAATATTATGTATAGATATGTATTAGTTATATAAAAATCACATTTTACATTAAATATGCTACTGTAAAATGAGTTTAGATGTTTAAGGGCGTGTAATCGTTCAAGACCCAGATGCCATTGGAACCCGTGGAATTTTTACATCTCATATCATATTTATAATATTATTAGGAACATCTTGAATCTCATGGTATGACTCCCGAATGCTATCATAACTTAATCTTGAAGGTCCATTTAGTTATTGAATGACATTTTAATTATTTTGGAGGTATGTAATCACTATGTCCATTAACAATATTGAAAATCATATTTTTAACTCAAAATTTCAAAAATATTTATGAAGGATAAATATCACCATTATTACATTTATTTCAGTATTCTCATTAAATTTTGATATTTTGTTTATATTTTTCACATCTTCTTCGATGCTTCAAACGAATGTTACATGCGACATCAATATATATCTATAGAATTATTTAATTGTAAAAAAAACTCGTATTTATATAAAAATGTGGTTTCAAATGGAAAAAATGTATTCATATGGTTTAAATGTAATACAAAAAGTTTATATGGTTTCAAATGAAAAATGGTCAACAGTGAACACAATCGAAAAAAATGATGTTCGATTTGGACCAAAAGATATAATGTCAAAATTGACAAAAAATTAAAATTTAATGTCAAAATTGAAAATAATGAAAACTTAGTGTCTTTTTTGTAAAAAAAATTAATTTTTACACGTCAGCATGTTATGTCTGTATGCCACGTCATCAGTCAACCGGGTTGACCGATCAAGTGACTATGATTGTAACAAATTGGAAAACACAGTGTCAATTTAAAATTTTGGTGTAAACTTTATGATTTTGTGCTATTTTCCTTTAATTTTTTAGGTCATGTGCTAAGAGTAAAATTGAGTCCCTAATATAATATTTTGATATATAAACAAGACATTAATATTAGGATAAAATTCGACTCCCTAATACACCGTCCCAAATAATATTAATGACTATGATTAAAAACAATTTTTATTTTTTATACTAATAGTCAACGGAAAAAACATCATAAATGGTCCTTATGGTTACCTAAAATCTGAAGTTTAGTCCCCGTGGTTTAAAAACCTTATAGATGGTCCCTGTGTTTTCAAAACTTTTGACGATTGGTCCTTATTGCTAACTCTGTTAACTTTTGTCGTTTAATTGAGGGGCATTTTCATCATTTCACACCACAGGGACCATTTATGATCTTTTCAGTTATTTTTTAAAAAAAGAAAAAACTAAATATAAATATTTAATATATAATCTCTCTCTCTCTCTCTCTCTCTCTCTACTGTTCAATTAGTTTCATCCTCATTCCCAATCTTATGCTTCACTCCTCTATTGTCAAACTCGAATTCCATCCCAATCTTACCGTGAGCGATGGTACGCCCTCCACCGTGCCTTCCTCTGAAACCCTGACCGGGACACGGTGGCTGAGAAGGTAACGACATCATGCCCGGATGTAACCCCGCCGAAGACCTCCGCCCAGTGCCGCCACAAGATGGAGAAGCTCCGCCAGCGCCACCGCGCCGAAAAGCAGCGCGCGTCGTCGTTCCCCGGTGGTCGGTTCTTCTCGTCGTGGTTCTACTTTGAAGCCATTGAGGCCATGGAAAATGGACCCAGTTCCGAAACTGTTAACAATAATTCGACCAATCTTGAAATCAACAACGCAACCCTTGTGTCGGATCATCAGAGCTTGAATCCGGGTCGTGGAATTCGATTTAAACCTTCTTCTGTTCAAAATCTGGTAACATTAGCAGCTAGTTCCACCAATCATACTCCTGATTTCGATTCCAGGTTTTCAAATCACAATTCCTCATACATAAATTTGTTTCAGGGGAACCATCAAAACGGCAACAGTTGGAATCCAAATTCGAATCAGGGAAAAAAAAGAGGGAATGGAGGGATACAGGAGGTGGCTTCTTCGATTAAGCTATTAGGAGATGGGTTCATGAAGATGGAGAAGATGAAGATAGACATGGCTGAGGAGATTGAAAGGATGTGAATGGAGACAGAGATGAAACGAAACCAATTGATATTGGAGTCACAGAAGCAGATTGTGGATGCGTTCTTGAAGGGTTTGATTGAAACCAGGAAGCAGCCAAGAACAAAAACAATGGCGGATTAGTAGCTTCTGATAATGTGATTAGTTATTGTTTTCAGTAATGTGTTTTTAGTTGAGATTAACATAGTTTTCCTTAAAACCTCGTTACATGTAAAACTCTTGCACATTATAAATCACTCCTTTTCACATATAATAAAATCAAAAAGCCTTGTCCAATTGACGTTCCATGGAGGAGATATCTCATGAAAAAGCAAACAAAGTAACCTGAATACAATTTATATATCAACAAAAACTAACTTGTTAAAGCAACTGAACAGCAAACCAGCCATGTATACGAGCAGAAGTTTTGAGATGTTTTGTGGTTATAAACAGGTTTGTGTATATCAGAAGTAATTTTGTTTGCTTGCTTGCTGTGAGAGAGAGAGAGAGAGAGCGAGAGAGAGATTTTATATATTTAGTTTTTTCTTTTTTTTAAAAGAATAATTGAAAAGATCATAAATGGTCCCTGTAGTGTGAAATGACAAAAATGCCCCTCAATTAACGGACAAAAGTTAACGGAGTTAGCAATAAGGACCAATCGTCAAAAGTTTTGAAAACACAGAGACCATCTATGAGGTTTTTAAACCACGGGGACTAAACTTTGGGTAACCACAGGGACTATTTATGATGTTTTTTCTAGTCAACGACGAAACTACGACTATATTCATTAGATTCCAAAGTGTTTTGCGACAAGATAATACGACGTTAATTTCGTCGCCAAGTTCCTTGCTAATTTCATCAATGATCTTGTTGATGTTGGCATGTAGCGGTGAATTTCCAACGGAACTTCCATTGTTGATTCCAATGTTTCTTGTATGTAAAAATATATAAATCTGATCTATAAGTTATGTACGGTCGCACACCACACACATCCTCAGAACCGACCTGATTATAGCCAATCATTCTCTATTGTTTTGATCACTAAGATACAACATGCATATTGATCTTATAAGCTCCAACATATTTATCATAATTCCATCTTCGAGAGAACGTCAAACCACACCCCTTGACCGAGGAACGAGACGACAAACCCGTTGAACAAATATCATACACACAAATAGATGAATATTCGCTAGTCATTTATTATTGTACACCTATCACCTTTCTAACCATTTATTATAGAAAATCCGATACACAATAGGCACACAACAATATTATTCCATATTATTATTATTATTATTATTATTATTATTATTATTATTATTAAAGAAAAGTATACCGTTAACGGTTTGGTCAAGTTCTGCTAGCTTCTTTATATATCTTGTACCCCAAAAGTTACCAGCAGGCATTCGTAAGACTAAAATCCACTTTTGTAGCAAGAACAAAGGAGAAGCCATGACTAGGTGGTGCTTCTATAGATGGCAGATGGTGGTGGTTGCCTTTATGTTCATGGTCTTCCTGACAACTCCGGTGACATCACAGCCACAAACAAACATACTAATCACAGCTTGCAGCCCAGCTAACCACACCAACCTCCCGAATTTCTACGCCAATCTTAACTCTACTTTCCAAGATGTCCGAACACAATTATCGAACAATAACACATACTTTGCCACCGCAGAGCAGACAAGGAATTCAGAGGCAGTTTACGTAATGGGTCAGTGCAGGAACTACATGTCGACAAGGGACTGCGTGGCTTGTTTTGATTTTGCCGATAGGTCAATACGTTTCTGCGCTGGTGCTAACGGTGGCCGAGTTGTACTTGACGGCTGCTTTCTCAGGTGAACATTTTATATTTACTTTTTTCATATTATGAATACACAGACTACGAAGCAAGAGCAGCCAATCTCGAAATATCTATGATCATGCAACGTGCGGTTTGTATTGCGTTGAAAGACTTCCGATTTCCTTGGTTTATTTCTATCATATAGAAGTAAAGTCCACATTTTATTTCTCGTCTGGAATAAACCACCAATTTTTATGGGAGTTGATTTTTCTACTGTTTGAAAAATCAATATAGGGACAATTATATACTTCAACCTATTTATTTTTAATTTATGATATTGAAGAGAGAGATCCAAATTGATTTGCTTCCAAACGACGCCCATTAACCTTCCTCCTTTCTCCTTCGGCGCTGCAGCTTCTCAGTCGCTAATGCTTCCGATTCAAAGGGTAAGTGAAGTAGAAGTGTAGAACCCATCTCTTCAGCCACATCACCCCACCAAAGCCTCCATCTCCGCTTCTTGATGCATGTGTAATTTGTAAAGTGCAACCTTCAATGGATACGGATTCTAAATCTGTGATGGAACTCAAATTATTGAGGAATCTTGAATTCCCGATTTGGCATTTTAGTACCAGAACATTGAAATCAAATCTAACCAGATGTTGTTGAGCTATCACGAATCGTATCCAGATTGGAAGAAAACCACGAAACAATCTGCCATCTCGTATTCTTCTTTAATCGAGTACCTACACCTTGCGCCCAACAAAACAAACGTTTATTCAAGGAGCTTCAACACAAGAGCTTCAAACAACTTGTATACGATGGATAAGTTAATGACATGTGGATGGAGGGCAAGACTTGTATGACGTTAGTTGTCACAGATAGATGGGTTCGATTTTGATTGTCATCTTAAAACTCGGATTCAAAGAACATTTTGTTCTTTGATTCTTTATGTTTTACATCCATTGTTCTATTTGATAACGTGAAATGTGATCGCTTCATGTTCGATACTTCCTGACCATCGCCTGTTTCCATCAAGGGCAACACTTCGTTTTAAGAAGTTGATGGTGGTTATAGCTTGTTGAGAAATTCGGAGATTGAGATTAATTCAAAAACTTTGATTTTTCAATATCTTAAATTAAAATTAAAATGGGTCCATGCATTACTTTTCCATGGATGAATAAAAATAACAATTAAAATTAAAATTAAAATGGTCCATGTATTAATTTTCCATGGATGATTAAAAATAACATGCGGAAAAATTAATTCCCAACTTTTATTCCTCAAAACTGATAAAAGTAGTTTCCAAAATTTATTCCACTATTCAACTTTCAAATTTGTTATTTTTAGTTTTTTTAAAATCTCGACTTTTCCTTGACTCAGAGTCAGCCCCACGGAAGTGTTGAGTATGCGAGTGCATAGGCCCGTATCGTGAAGGGTGGAAATTTAAATTTTCGATAATCCATCAATATCTATGGCTAATCCATTGTGAATCCGTCGTTAATCCGTAGCAAAAATATGTTGCTAATCCGTTGCTATCTATCATTATCCGTTTCTAATCCGCCATATCCTCATTAATCTGAAATGGTAGGGCCCATTTTCACTCTACGCGTAGAGCCTTCAAAATTAATGGATCGCCCTGCCCCGATTAATCTTCGATTAGTACCTAGGCGGTACGCGGCCAACAAAAAGGTGTCTAATGATTAATCCATGTTTAAACAATGAGTTAAACAGTAGAAGCTGATTAAATTTTAATGCTTTCAAGAAGCTTTATCTCAATAGAAACTATTTGATGAATGATTAGTGTTATATTATTAATATTAACTTATATTGTTATAATATTAGTGACATTTACTAATTTTGTTATGATATCAGATATTTTTTATTTTTTAAAATTTAACGGATTTACAATTTGGGGACCCCGACTAATCCCCACTAGGCCGACTAATATCTAGTCACTAGTCGACTGACTTAATACAAGACCAAGCAATGGAGCGGGTTTAGACCTAATCAAATCCAAACCCTTAAGAATTATATGAGTTTCGAGCGTGATTTTTGATTCGTTTACCGTTAACGACCCATACCCACTAACTATTTTATTAAAAGGTTCGTGTATGGATCATCGCCGATCCGCTATGTTTATAACCTGCCCCGTATAAATTTTCGAATTGTATATTTATACTTTATATTGTTATTGTTTATTTTTAATTCTAATTGAAATTCCAAAGGGAAAAGGTCAAATTGTGTTTACCTAGGGCTCGAGGAGTCGACATCCAGACTTCCAATTTTCTGCAGAATCAAGATTTCATTTCGTTTATATTTCATTAAGGAATCTCCAATGCCATTTATAAATCAATAAAATCATCTGTCAATTGGAATAAAGTTTGTAATCACTATTCTCTATCAATATAATCGACAATAAGAAATCAATCAGAATCCAATCGGAATTCCTCGAGTACGTAATATGTTTTCTAAATCGATATTGGTTTTATTCAATAAATATTATTTGAAGTATTATGGTAGATATTTTTTATTTAAGAAATGTTATTTTAAGAATTAAGTAAAATGTGTTTGGTTATTCAAAATATCTACAGATTTCAGAGCGGATTTGAATATTTGGTGATTTGGTGGATAAGGGTATAAGTTTGATTATTCAAAACCCTATGGATTACGGAGAAGGTTTGAATGAAATATTGAAATTTGGTAAAAGAGTTTGGATCAAATTCGATTTGCTCCAAACCCGCTCCATTGTCAGGTCTACTTAATACCGCCTAACGACGTTTCCATCCTTGGTTATTTTATAAAAATGTTTTTGCAATATTATCTGACAAATATCACAAGCTTCTAATAATCAACTAAAATGAAAGTATAACATAAACTAATAAGAAGATTTCATGTTATATACTTATACACATGAATTTTTTGGGAGTGTGTTTCCCCCAATCTAGCTTAAACAAGATTTCAGTGAAGGGCTTGAAATAGCTACCACTTATATACGATCGGTGGGGTTGGTATGGGGATGTTAGGTGTTCATGTGTGAAGGCATGAAAGTCAAAAGTGGCAGTAAGAATAATCGTTAGGTAAGTGGTTGAAGACATTTACTCTATATGTGTCCGAACACATGAAAATAAGTGGTTGTAGATATTTACTTTATATGTGTGAACACATGAAAATAGGGTATGCTACATATTTGTAGCGTTTAAGAATTTTACGTGTGTGAACAATGCAAGCTTCTTTTTTCTTATGCATGCAATGTTTGTGGCATAAACTTGAAGCCTATAAATATGCACTACCCCTTGCTCCAGAATATAACAACAACACTGGATACAAAAGATAGAAAATAGAGAGTAAGGTAGATTTTTGTAACATTAGGTTTTCAGATAAGCTTTTTTTTGCCTTAAGTTGGCATTAATAGGTGTTTGGGAATTTCTCTGGATAGTGACGCTACTTACTTAGCGGTCATGCCTTGACAGGCGTGTTGGGTCAAACCCTAAAAGCCTCGGGATTTGGGCCTATTTAAAGGCATAAACCCCTGAGGTTTCATTATTTCCTCAACATCTATAACCCTCAGAGTAATCATAGAAAACCCTAGCCTCTCTCATTTGATTTTGAGCCTCTAATGCTTATTTATGCACCTTAAAGGAGAACGTAGTGCATTTTATGAAGTAAGGAAGCAAATAGAAAGTTAAATCCAACCTTTTGAGCACCTTCTAGACCATTGTAAGTCTTCAAGCTTGAAGCTTTATAAGTTAGCAGGTCTAGATCTATGATTTTATGCATGTTTTGGTCACTTGGTTGATGTTTTGTTGGAGTTTGGGGAACTACAACCTTAAAGGTTATATTTGTATGGCTTCTAGACCCATGATGGTAAGAAGATAGGAGTTCATCTTGTCATTTGGTCCATGTATGAATATATGAGCTTGTTGGTCCCAATTTTGACATAGACTTGGTATGATGGTGTTAAGGACATGCATATGGATAAAGTTGGAAACTTTATCTGTTAAGACTATATTGTGATGTATTATGGAGGTTTAGAGATGAGGTGTTAATGTATTAAGACCTTAGTTGTAATTTGGGTGTGTTGCCAAGATCGAGTCACAATATGAGGATTTAGTCACGCCACAATATTCGAGTAGACCGCATTTATTTATACCCTTAGCGGTGGCGTCACGACGTTGTGTTGGTCGTATCACGATGACGTGGATAGTTAGATTTTTTTACCAGATTTGACTTTTGGTCAACTGTGTTGGGTTTGGGTCCTGGGGGGGAAAATAGTCTTTTTCCCATAGATTAGGGTTTTTTTGGACCTGGAATCGATAAGGAAGTGTAGTTGAGTATTTTACCTTAATTGCTAAATTTGGATTATTTATTGTGTGGTTGTGGGGATGACTTGATACCACTAGCTTGAGTTGTGGATTTGATCTTGTCTTCTATTCATGTGAGTTCTCACGTACTTTATTATTCCATAGACTATATGATATGTTATGTACGATCATGAATAGCCTCTTGGAGGGAAGTGTGGTCGGGATGTTGGGTTTTACTAGAGAATTGCCTCTTAGATGGAAGTTCTACTGTATCTTAGCATGATGTATGATCAAGGATAGCCTCTCGGAGGGAGGTGTGATCAGGATGTTGTATATAATGAGAGATTAGCATCACGGAGGGAAGTTCTAGTAGGGATACTCCAGGTGATCTCCAAGGACAATTACTCATAGGTATGGAAGATCTTATGAGTTCGTAACATTGGAAGCAACTGATAAATAGTTGGATCTAGAAGAATCACGAATGAGCCCGAGGTACTAGTGGGCAGTGTTAAAATGATGTAATACTACATAATAATAATAATAATGAGTTGTTATCCTTAGTAAAAGTCACATTTTTATGGTCAACAGTGGTTATCACTACGAATGGATAAGAAGGAGTCGTAAAGCTGATAATGAGTTGGTAGATGGGTAGATAACGTGGTATAATACTATGATTCGATTGTATGGTAATAGTTAGGCATGATGTGAAAGATTTTGGTCTTGGTTCGGACCTAAGTAACCTTCATGGATTGGGCCTGAATGATGCAGGCATGCATAAGTCATTTGAGTATGAGGTTATGTGGTCCTAGTTCGAGGTATCAAATTTGGTCGTGAGACTTAATGAGGTAGAGATCAAGATGATCGACATGAGGTTTGCACTTGTTATTAGGTTTGATTAGCTGATGACTGGAGAACCCGCTTACTATTGTATGGTAATTTCATTCTCTTGTGGAGAGGAAAAGAAATCACACTCTTATCATTTGGTAGATAGACAAAAGGAAAGGCATTCTTTTGCAATAAATTCTTCCTTGAGGAAGCAAGGTTCAGCTTTTTGTGAATCTTTTCATTTGTCAGGTAGGGAATTAAGGTGCAGAATCAGGAACCATTAGCATTTAAGGAGTTCAGAAATGGTGATGCTTGCAGAAGGTAAGAG